CTAGGGAACTAGTTTTATCTGCAGTTGTTGGGTTAAAAGAGAAGACAAAACAAAACAAAATTCCCCAAATTTAGTATCTCCCAAAGGCTCCCACAGGCTGTACTGCTAGGTGAATCCACATGACTTGGTTTGTCTGCTAGACAACACTTGTTTTTTTTGTTGTTTGAAAATTCTATGAGCAATGAAAGTAATTTCCTCTCCATACAAGTGATATTTATAAAAGGATTGTTTGCCTGGGCTCCCAGATACTAGAACCCTCTTAGCCCCCCACCCACAAACTCCACCACGAGTAGGTCTCATCACACGTCTGAAGGGAGGAACTTTGCCACCAAATAGAGGAGACCAGTGGGGGCCTCTGGCTGTGCTGCTTTCCAAGTTCCATCCAGCCTCTTTAATCATTGCATCAGACCCTCAACCAGAAAAAACAATTTAACTGCTAATTTGTGTAAGATTTATTGCATTAAAACAAACAAAAAACCCCTACTTTCACAGAATTATTGTCAGGAATGCTTTTTGCCCCAGCTTGGTTGTCTTACTGTCTTTTCCCCTCACCTTGCTCTGAGAGGAATGTTATCTTCAAATATATTATGGGATAAGTGTCACTCAACAACCAGTCTTAGGCCTGTGGCAATCCCCTCTTCTGAAGTGCAATCAATCATGTCACCACCTCAGCTCAGACTAAGAAGTGGGTCTCAGGGAGGTGAGCTGCTGCCCTCACACCTTGTTCTGGCTTCAGCCCATGAGCTGCATTGCCTTGGGGCCTCAGCAGGATCCACAAAATCGTGTTTGCCCAAACCTCTCCCACCAGTCAATACCTGCATGTGCATCACCTTTCAGACCCAGAGATCTTGTTTGGGTGAGGCTCAGAATAGCTTTGGATATGTAACCTCACCTGGTGCCACAAAAGGAGATAATTGTTCAAGGAAAGAGAAAAAAAAATCTCACAAGTACGATGCTTTTCTGATAGTCTGCCCAACACAAGGAGAGAAACCCAGCAAGTCCTGGACAGTGAAGTGATCAGTGTGGAATTGCACTGCTGGTGTACAATACTGGGATTGCTCTGAAGCATAGCCTTGCCCTGTGGTTGCTAAGACAAGTAGTTTCCCAAGCTCAGCCTGTCTCTCATGTTGAAGAGATCTTTAATGTTCCTAGTGTGATCACTGTTTTTAACACACTGGTAAAAAACTCAACTAAAGAAGACAGTCTTTATTAAAAATTCAATGTGAGAAGTATAAATGTGTATTTATGTATGTATACATTATATTATACGGTATAAATGTTCCTGAAGGATAAATATCTTGTGAGAGTAAATATAAATACCATAAAACCTTGGCTCATGCACAAGGAGGAGACTCAAATGGAAGGAGGAGGCTGCTCAGTATTCAGGTGCATAGGACAAGGCCAGGGACAAAATATTGACAAGATCACAACTAATGCTGAGTTGTATGACCCCATGGGCTGTTTCAGTATTTTTTAATGTGTGGTACAGTCTTTGTCTCAAAGCGTTTTGGGAAATCACCTGAAAGTTGTAATTTTTGAGCAGTTTATCTGATGCTTAATCCAGAACAAAATTTGATCTCGCTCATTGTTGTTGTGGCTGGGAAAGTTAAAACCTTCTTCTTCAGGACAATGGAAGGAAGAATACATAGATTAGCTGTGTATAATTAGTTCTGGAAGCATACATCTGACCAATTCTCTATCACAAGCAAAATTATTTTCTTTGAAGACAGTGATAGCAGAAATGTTCATGTGGGAAATTGTACTACACCCTCCTCCCAAAATTTTCTTTTGCAGTGTTTGCCTACTGTTTGCTAGACTGTTGTGAATCCTAAATTGTATTTTGTTTGTCTTATTGGGAAAAAAAAATGCCTTGACTAAAGCAATTCCTGTGTGTGGTCTGAAGCTGGTTATCGTGAGTCAATCAGTCACACATTCATACACCTCCTCTGGAAGTCTCTGGGGTATGGAGAGAGTTATTTTTATACAAAACAACTATATTTCCCTGTACCTCCATTAAACACAAATCGTGTCTCATACTTTCATCACAGGCACAAGAAAACCATGATTCCCTGCTGCCCTGTGCAAATCATACATCGTGTGTGTTGGAAACTGTCATTTATTGCCATCTGTGAAATCAAGATATATATCCCTGTACCTTATTTTCTCCATTTTTCAGTTAAGATGTTTGCTCAGACATTAAAATTGTTGTCAACTATATGGTGAGTAATGCCTATGAAGTTTAGCTCTTTTGCAGAGGGAAGTATTTTTGGGGTGAGAACTATCTGAAGGAAACAGCATGTAAAATATTCACAAAATCCCAGAAAGTATTTTTGTGCAAACCTGCAGATATTCTCCAGAGTCTCTTAAAAATGACTAAGGAGGTGCTGCCTTCACTGAGTTTGGAGACCACTTTCAACTTCAGTCTCTGTCTCCAGCACAAGGTGAAAAGTCCTGTGATGTTTGCTACTACCCACATCTAATTTGAACCATTTAGCAAGGCCTCCAGTTCATTGTTTTAAAATCATACATCTTAAAACTGCACAGCTGTTCACCCCTTATTGCCAGCTAGATAACAGCTATAAAATGCAAGCCATAAGACAAATATTTCTGCAGATTTGCTAGGTTATAGCCATCCAAAAATATTCCCTCTGCTGCCCAATATGCAAACACCCTTTCTACTGTTAGGTTTTATGACTGCCAAGGATGGAAGTTGTAAAGAATATGATATCATTGTGATATAACATAAACTGCTATTCCACTAGGTTCTGTAATTTTTGGGAGGGAAATCTAGCACCAAAAAAAAAAAGAAAAAAGAAAAAAGAAACCCCCTTAATTTATTAGAAATAAATTCTTCCCAGATATATTCAAATACATATGTATATATGTACAAATAAATATGTTTCACAAATAGGTTCCAAGTATAAAGACCACCCTAAATAATGACCGTGTATAGAAACCTGGGGTTTTCCTGCACTGCTTCTCCAGTTCTAACAGTTATGCATTAATATGGTGTGAAAAACCTATATATAGAATGCTTTTGTTAAAATCAGATTATACTAATTCTATATGAAGTGCTTTAATGAAAAATGCTTAATGGCTGAAATACTATAAGACTGCAGTTAGAGTGCAGGTGCAAAAATGATATTCTACACTCCCTGGAGAGCAAACTTGTACATACTGTGAAATATCAATTAAAGTTTATAGTTGCCTGTACTGGTTAAATGTCTTTTTCATGGGAAATTTTCGTCTTCTCTTATGAAGCACTCACTTGGGTGAAAATGTGTACTGAATTATGTGGGCATTTTGAGTTATTAAGGAATAGATTTGTTTTACAAGCAAGCTGTAAGCATTCTTTGCAGTTTTTATGAGGTCATCTACATGACTTTTAAATGGTGCTCTTGGCCAACCTCGATTCTCAGATCAGTTCATTAATACACACAGCTGTCTTTAAAAACTACAAGAATAATGTATACTGGAGTCTGGAAGAAAGAGGTGGATTTCAAGGCTGTATTTCAATCAAGGGGCCTGTTGACATCATAAACTATGAGAGGACAGCCTAAGCTGCTTCATGAACAGCAGCAAGTTCACGACTGAAATACAGCCTGCTTAATTATTTAATTTAGAATATGTGGAGAAAGGATGCAAAATTCACTTTCATGTGAGCACACCTCCCAGGAAATGTCAGCTGGGACTTGTGCAATATTCAGTGTTGGCAGAGGTTGTCCTGAATAAAATCTCATATACTATGGCATGTGCTATGGTAGTCAGACTGCTCACATGTTTCTGGATCTGAATGGGGAAGACCTGGATTTAATTTCTGATTCTGCCACACTTCCTGGGTGGTTTTGGACAGGGTCTGACTTCCCTGTGTTTCTGTTCCACATTTTTAAATTCTGGGAAAGTACATCTTCTTTTTTCATTTCTCACCTTTCCTTTTTATGTCTTGTTAAAAACTTGTGCCATAGTCTGTCTGCCAAACAATGTATCATATTTAATGCAAACTCTTGAGATCTCAAGATGCTCTTGAAGACCAAATAATATTTTAAGTAGGTGAGTACAGAAAAAAACTTGTTAGGGGGAATGTTTAAAAGAATACAACACAGGCTGAAAAATTTGTATCAAAGCTTTCTAAAAACAACATGTGCTTCCTATTTTTAATATGCCTCTCCATAGTCTGGTAGAAAACAAAAGTCAAAATCTAGGAAATACATGCAGCTAAGCAGGTAGATAGTAGAAAATGGATTCATGCAGAATGTGGTGACTAAGGCACTGAGGACCCACCCCAAGATTTTATCTCATCCTCTTCATTGCAAATAAAAACTGGCACAAAGAGTACAGAGCTAGAAATTGAGATGCATTTATACTTAGCTTTATTTATTTTTTCAAGATATTTGAATTAAGCCAGATAAAGTTGTTTAGAGGCAAACATGAGCTGAATTTCCTGCAGCTGATTAATGGGTAATGTTTTCTGAATTCACTAAATTCTGAATGTTTTCTGAATGTGTTCATAATGAAAGCAGTCATCATGCAGTGTTGATTCCAGGTTTAAGCTCTTTCCTTTCTTTGAGTTTAGGATCAAGCTATATTGAGAGAGCTGTTTGCAACTCACATTTTACAGCTTGTGTGGGTAAGGTGGATGATCTGAGACACCCTTCAGGTTAGAAAACCTGCAGTAACCTCTGTTCTATCTGCCAGCCCCAGCAGGATGCTCAAGGCCAGCGTGTGCCCGCTGTCACTGCTGCAGAATCAGAGATCCTCGAAGGTCTACTCAGGAAAACAGAGTAACATCAGCACCAACAGAACCTTGCATATCCATTTGCCAAGGAAACACTTGGATTTCAGTCCTTGGGACTCCTCTCTTTTGAGAGTTTCAGATCAGATTACTTGATAATGATATGGAAAGAAGTGGAAGAGCACTGGCAGTGACACATTTATCACCTCCTTACCTGTAAATGTGTGACACACAGATTATTTACCTTCCTTTTGCTCTCTCCCTGCAGGAAGCAGATGACACAGCAGTTTTCCTGAGGAGTTGTGCCATGGCTGTGCACTCTCACTACTGACAATTGCCTGTCCTTGTACTCAGCCTGACCCAGGACACAACATGGGACCAGGAGACCAAGGTAGGCCAGACTGCAGTGGGAAGGAAACTTTCCTCAGTGAGAATCATAACGAGGGATGCCATCAGCAACATGCTGGTGCGCTGCAAAAGGGCAATGAGGCACTGCCAGCCTGCAGCATGGGTGGGACACAGGAAAATAAATACTGGCTACTAATCAAATGTACAGACTTTGAGGAAATAAATGGGATATGGCCCTTCATTTAAAACATGGTGCAGGTAAACACCAATGAAGGAGGAACATGAGGGATGGTGGACAAAGAGAAGAGGAGTTCCTATCCTAAGCCTCCAGGGCATGACTTTATCAACTAGCCTGATGAGAAACACTGTAAGAAGATAGCTGAGTCTCTATTACCACATTCTGTAAGGAAGTCACTGTGCACATTAAATGTTGAGAGAGCCCATAAATGACATTGTAACAGTGGAAATCACTGAAGATCAGATATAGCCTGCTTTTTAACTTAGAGCAAGGAGGAATAGCATAAGCCATCAACATTGACTAAAGAAAGGTCCCAGAAATTGCAGGATGTGTGCTCTGAGGAGTATGGAAAATATTCTACCCCCATTTTTGTCAGAGCTCAAGGGCTGGAAAGAGCAGAGCTTTGGGGTCCCTCTAGCTACACCACAGCAGGACCTTGGGAAGAGTGATGGTTTCCTGCAGTGGACATTCTTCCCTCCTACTGCCTGTGTGAAATCCAGAACTGTTTTTTTTTAAATAACAGCTACCTATTCACAATATATTATTTGAAGAATTCCTCCTCCCCTGAAGAAGCATGCTAAGGGCTGTCACTTGGGTTTTGGCCTGTTTTTGCATTTTAACCTCTTTATTAGTTAATTTTGTGTTTTATGAGCCTCTCCTGTAAGAAAATGCTGCTCAGTACCACTAGTAACATGCAATATTGGGCAGCCAGTCCTATCCTTTGTTTCCAGCATTATCTCTCAAATATCTCATTTACACTATCTTTAGTTCACCAGTGAAAAATGCCGTGGTTTCTCAAAGTCCTGTTTGCCAGTTAGCAGGAAAGAGGCAAGTTTTCTATGCATATAACCTCACACAGAAAACTGAGAGTTATGGGTATTCAATTCCTGGAAGTGGCCAAGGCCAGGCCACTGGGCTTTGGTGTGAGGCTTTCACCAACCTGGTTTATGAAATGTGTCCATGGCAGGAAGGTTGGAACTGATGATTATCAAGGTCCCTTCCAACCAAACCCATTCTAAGATTCATGAATAAAAATTTACAAAAGCCTCTCAAGTACTTATTTAGAGTCTACACATCTATGTTCAAATACTGATGTTTTAAATTGAATCTCTCATCCTCACGTCTACACAGGAACTCATGACAAGTATATTTGTGTCTAGAACGCCCTTAAAATACTTTCAGAAGTGTCTGGAAAGAGCTTTAGGCTCTAGCCATGCCTCTGGAAATCTCATTATAGTCCCTGACTCATTCAGGGCAAGCAGGCAGGACTTCCACCATCATGGAGAGGGTGATGAAAGCTGGATGGTACATGGATGGTGAAATTCCACACATCACAGAACCTGTGCCTTGTCAGGATAAATGGTTTCCTCTTCCAGGACAAATCCCTTTTTCAGTTTAAACTAGAATCACTGCCACTGAACACTGCAAATAAAAATAAAAAGCTAAAGCCTAGATATAGGGCTTCCTTAGTCCTTGACAGTGTTGGCACTTTTTGGAAAAGCAATCAAACAGGTCATAAAATACATTGTGCTGTAGTAGGCCATTTGTAATTGTGAAACAGTGAAGGCTGTGACACCACATGAGCATCCACAAAAGCCATTGGAAAAACAAACCCTTTCTTCTTGTGCTTCTCTAAATTTTCTGTTGGGAAAGCACGAAGTTGCTATATCATTTACTCTTCAAGCCTTTACATCCGTGGCTTCTTCTTGTTCCAGGAACCAGGTAACACTGGCTACTGTCCCTTTGCGGTCCTTGCTGTGTTTGGCTGGTAGATGCCATTAAAAGGAAAGAATAACAGGGCTGCCCACTATTGCTCAGCTTGCCTGTTAGCTCAGCTCTACACTTCACATTCCATGATACCTTTATTGTGTAACTCTGACATACAATGTTCAGTCATTTGGTCTGATAGATCACTTCTTGGACAGAAAATGCACCTTTCCAAAGTCACTTTCTTCCATGGATTATTTTAGTTATCCCAAAAGCATTCCTTGTAAGACCCCTGCATCTTCAAGCTTGCCACATATAGCAGTTGGGAAAACATCACCATTTCCAGTATTACTTTTTTTTAGCACTACTGGCTTCCAGGAACATTTGAAAATATTTAAATCACCTGCTCCAGCTTTCTGCCAGTTCCCTTCCAAACTCAGACTGCTTCAGTTATTCCATTTTTCTCACTTATGTACTTTACTTCTAACACTGTGTAAAAAAGACATGACATGGGAGTTTTGGCAAGGAAGCTCAGGACTTTTCCTCCTTGGGTCATTTCCAGGACAAAGTCATGTGATTTTAAAAGATTTGCCCCTGTTTCAGGGATGAATTGGCCACAGCAACAGCTGTGTTCCACAGATGCTTTTGCCCCTCTCTCCCCCATAACAGGATTTCAATCAATGGAGCAAAGCAGACGGTCCCTAATTGTCCTAACTGCCCCTACATGGCTTCCTCTTCTGCTATTGCCTAGAAGTGAGCAGGAAAAGAAAATGGAAAATACTTTTTTTTTTTTTTGTTTGCAACAGTTGTTCTAGTCTGCAGCTGTGTTTAATTAATTACTTGGGTAAGTGAGATGGATAGAAGAGCTTTTCAAAGCTGCTGAGAAGAGAGCTGTCCGCAGCTAATTATACTGTTATAATAATCCCATGGTATTCCTCAGACTTTTCATCCTCTGACTGAATAACAGTTTAGCAAAATATCCAAGGATCACTTATAGTTTTGAATAAACAACTGGGAAAAGTGGTAAAGCAAAATAGGATTCAGCTAGGAACAACTAAAAGATTTTCAGCTTGCTCATGGACAAGTCATAATGTATCAGATACCAGGAAAATACAAGGAGGACTTTCAAAATGTTTTCCCTCATTTGCCCAAAATATTTATTTAAGTCTGCTTTTTAGCTCTTTAGATAGTTGACATGATTCATTTTAACAAAAATACTTAATACTTATCAGAACCACTTGTGAAAGTTCCTTGTAACTGCCAAGAGGGAAAACCAACCAGAATATCATGTAACATTTTTGCTGATTTTGGGAAGAAAAACATATATGTGAAACTGAAATAGTAATGCCACAGAGCCAAAAGAAAGATTTTTCAAGGACTTAATAACTTTTTTTTTTTTTCCAGAACACACTTTTTGTCAAACATCCTAGGTTACACCTGAGAAATTAGATTGGGGGGGAAAAAGAGAAACATTAAGTAGCTGGTGAATTGGGGGACCTGTAATAACAAAATGACAAGTTGTTTTGTTCTTCCATAAAATCCCGTAAGACAGGTTTCTTCTTCTTTGCGTGTGTGTAACTCCACATTGCAAATTGCTCACACAAGAGACACAGTGCATGAATCATACTGTGAAAAGCCAAGAATAAAAATGGAAAAGATCTTCCAATCTGTGGCCACAGAAGTAGCTTTATTTCAATATGTTTATCTCTGCATAAGCCTTGGTGAGCTGTCAGTGAATAGAGCATTCCTCAATTCTGCTACTATTATAAATACAAGATATCCCAAGAGGCATATTTCTCCTAAGAACACATCTGAACATAAAGTACACATATTCAAGGTGAGTAAAATCAGTGCTAGACAATGTGTAATGATAACATCAGAGCCACTTTTACAAAGTGAAGTTTGCTGAGCTTCCATTCAGACAAAAAAACATTACTTACTTAACATCAAGTTATATCTCAGTTTAAACATCGTGATTTTTAGTTTTGCTGAATGTAAAAACATTATCTCAGGATGTTCTCTTAAGCATGACAGTTCTAAGTATTAATGGAAGTGTTAATTCAGCTTTCACATCGACAGTCCAGCTAATGTCGCAACAGCCTTTTTCAAAAGAGACATGTGTTTGCAGAGCTGAGTATGCAGCAGCTACTACTTTGACAATGTGCCAGTAGCAGATGCTGTAGGTAGACAGTGGAAAAATATTTCACTTTTGTGGAATAAGCGTGAGTATGGGCAGGCAGAAAGTAGACATCAGAGTCATGCACAGACAGCTAGTGCAGACACAGCCTGGAGATTTCATTTGGCTGCTAACTGTAGACAATTTTCTGCAATGGTTCAGAGCTCTACAAACCTAGCAAAGACAACATTTTTCCAAGCTAAATTTATGCCTGACACTTTCATTCAGAACATGTCATTAATAATCTCACCAAAAGGAAGTATCTGAACACTGAGCATCCACAAAATACCCTTAAAGCTGCTGCTGCGACGCAGCAGCTTTTAAATCCTGTTGGTGATTTTCTCATGTATTGATAAACCCCATTAAGGGGAGACTGAGCTTGACAGTACTGCTTTTCCTCTCTGCCCCTCTCCCTTCTCTCAAAGGAATATGGCAGTGGTTTTATTTCTTTCTCTTGGGGGGGGGGCGGGGTGTGCAGGGGGATTGTTCTCAGTGAGGACAAATCAAAATCAACACTTGAAGCCATGGAGATGTAGCTCCATCTCACCAGAATCATGTATGCTTATAGTTTGACCCTTTGGTGTCCTCTGAAGGTGACTTACAACTCTCTCCTGAAGGGTCCTAATGAAGGTGAGCTCTACCTGGACAGACATGGCCTTTCAGAGCTGCATTGCATCCCTTGATCTCTTATAGATGATTCAAAAGGGGATGGAATGTGGGGGGAAATGCTAAACATGTGCCAGGTGATGTCATGTTTCTTTCTCTGATATTTCTTTTGTAACTATATTTTCTTGGTTTATAACATGACGACATAACACTCATAAATGAGAAGACAGCTGAAGTCAGCACCTGGAATTAAGTACTTGTCATGGAAACAGGAGCCTGAAGCCTAAATGGGACTGGATCTCAGTCCTCTGTGGAG